ATACAAGTGCTACCTGCTGTGTGAAATCTTTGCTTGAATATTTAGCTGTAACTGGCGTAATTCCTGTTAGTCTGTTAGCAAAATATCTCTTGAACCATTGGACAAATTGTAATTGAACTTTCAGGAAGTAACCGACAAGACTTGCATTTACAACTGATCAACTTTTGGAGTCGTTCCTTTTAAGTTGGTCTTCACAGCTAATCCACATTAGCCAGCACTAAAGTAGCTGCAACTCAATTTTACACATATTGAGGTCAAATCTGATGTGGTAGTAGCTGACAGTCATCCACATGGCATTTTTGACCAAGCTGGCGATAACAAATGAACTAATAACTAATAAATTTAAAATCGGAGTTGCGTCAAGAAAAGCTCATCCTTCATTTATTATAATAAAACATCCAAAAATATTGTAGCACCCGTTTCATTTATGTATTTTGCATCCCAGATTTTTAAATTTGTTTTTAAAATCACATTATCTTCTAAACTCTCAGTGATAATAAATACATTAGGAGCTGTGGGTGGACTAAGGGGGAAAGTTTTTAAAACTCACGGATTTTGACTTTCTTGGGGTCCAGCTTGAGCACCTCGTTCTGCAGGTTGTAGAGCCGTCCCTGGATCCTGGAGGACCTCCTGAACACCGACCCTGCCTCCATTTCGATGCCCAGAAAGATGTCGCTGGCATATCGGGAGAGCTCGGAGAGCTGCTGGATTATACTGGTGAAAGTGTGACAGCTCACTTCGTCCAGAGACGAGAACAGAACAAGTTTTCGGACTTTGCGTCTCCCGGTTTCTCCCCTCGGTTTCCAGCCGTCCCTGGCCGATAACCTGCTCACGCGCCTCGGCTCGACCGTCCTCTGATGAAAGGGCATATTCAAATCACTCCAATAATAACCTCACAGTCCGAAAACTAAAACACGACGAGGGGAATTTAAACACAAAACTACATTCCCGTGACCATTTTCGTTGCTGAAGGAGCGTATCTGCTCAGTCCCGCCATGTCTTATTGTTTTGTTCAAAAGCATGGACTTCGAGCTGCCCCGCTCCGGAGACGCTGCCTCAGATTCAAATTCATCCAGACACAAGAACTCACCAGGAAAAGTGAGGGGAAAGAAGCGCGAAGGAAAACCTGGAAAATACTACAGCCACCTGTAGCGACTGGAGCGGGAGCCGACCTGCCCAGCCTACTGAGGCTGAGGCGGATCGAGCCTGAGAGAAAACCCGGAGCGGATCAATCCAAGAACAGGAGCCAACCGCGGAGGTTTAGAACAGGTTTTTAAATATTAGCCTTTTTTTTCCATCCAGGACTTTATTTTATCATTTCTTTCATTTTTGCTTTTTTTTTTTTTTTTTTTTACATCACAAACGTGTTCAGTCCAAAGGATCTAAACTAGTCAAACCTGGTACATTTGTGCAGTGGACTATACAGTTATGAACATGCATTGTTCCAGCCTGATTTCAATTAGATAAAATTAGCAAAAACGTAAGAAGCTAAAAGTAGCAAAAGGCTGGGAATAGTTAAAATTAGCAAAAAGGTAACTAGAAGCTAAAAGTTGGAAAAGTCTGGGGGGAAAAAAGCAAAAAAGTTAGCTAGAAGCTAAAAGTAGCAAAAAGGTTGAGAAAAGCTAAAATTAGCAAAGATAGCTAGAAGCTAACAGTAGCAAACTACTAGGAAAAAGCTAAAATTAGCAAAAAAGATAGCTAGAAGATAAAAGTATCAAAATTCTGGGAAAAAGGTAGCTAGAAGCTAAAAGTAGCAAAAGACTGGGAAAAGTTAAAATTAGCAAAAAGGTAACTAGAAGCTAAAAGTTGGAAAAGGCTGGGGAAAAAAGCAAAAAAGGTAGCTAGAAGCTTAAAAGTAGCAAAAAGGCTGAGAAAAGCTAAAATTAGCAAAGATAGCTAGAAGCTAACAGTAGCAAAAAAATAGGAAAAGCTAAAATTAGCAAAAAGATAGCTAAATGCTAAAAGTAGCAAACTGCTAGGAAAAAGCTAAAATTAGCAAAAAACTGAGAAAATGCTAAAATTAGCAAAAAGATAGCTAGAAGCTAAAAGTTGCAAAAGGAGGGGAAAAATTTAAAACTAGCTAAAAAGGTAGCTAGAAGCTAAAAGTTGCAAAAGGTTAGGAAAAAGAAGAAAAAAGTAGCAAAAAGGCTGGGGAAAAGTCAAACCTGGTACATTTGTGCAGTGGACTGCAGTTAGGAACATGCATCGTCCCAGCCTGATTTCAATTAGCTAAAATTAGCAAAAACGTTGCTTGAAGCTAAAAGTAGCAAAAGGCTGGGGAGAAAAGCGAAAAGAAAAAAAGGTAGCTAGAAGCTAAAAGTAGCAAAAGGCTGAGAAAAGTTAAAATTAGCAAAAAGGTAGCTTGAAGCTAAAAAAGCAAATAGCTGGGATAAGTTAAAAATAGCAAAAAGTAGTTAGAAGCTAAGAGTAGCAAATGGCAGGAATAAAACTAAAATTAGCTAGATAGCTAAAAGGAAAGGCTAGCCAAAAGCTAAACACAGCAGAACAGTATTTTTCATTCATTCAACCTTTATTTATACAGGTTAGTCTCATTACTGAGCCTCGGGGACTCATTTACAAGAGAGACCTGATTTAAGAGTGATGACAACAGAGAACAACAAAGACAACAATAAACAATCATAAAGGATGCATACAAGTATTGCTGAAAGCAGCTAAAGTAAAGCTAGAAAGGAGCAAAGGGATAGCTCAATATAGCAAAAAGCTAGCTAAAAGCTAAAACAGCTGAATAGTAGCTAAAACAAGTTGCTAGCTAAAAGCTGAAAATTGAAAAGTGTAGCTTATAGCAGCAAAAGGAAAGCTAAGTTGCAAAGGGCTAAAAGTAGCAGAACAGTATAGCTGAAAGCAGCTAAAGGAAGATGTAGCAACAAGCAGGCAAAAAAAACTAAGATGCAAAGGGTCGAGAAAGGAGCAAAAATCAAGCATATGTGAAAAATAGCTAAATGGTAGCTAAAGAAATTGTATAAAATCTGGGGTGGGGTGAGCTTAACAGTTTATGCAACAAAAGGAAAAGGAAAGCTTAAAATTGCAAAGGGCTGGTTAAAAGATAAATGTAGCAAAAGGCTAGCTTCAAGTTAAGTGACAAAAAGTAAACTGAAGCTACAAGTAGCAAAAGGCAAGAAAATAAACTGAAATTTGCTAAACAGATTCAACAAACTACTAGAAGATGCAAGCTAAAAGTAACAAATCGATATGGCTAAAATCAGCTAAAGGAGAGCTAATAGTAGCAGAACCTAAAAATAGAATGGCAGCTAAAATCTCAAAGTAGCATAAGACAAAAACAGAGCAGGTACAGCAGATTTCCAAGAGAACAATGATTTTGAAGGAACTGAATAAACATGCATAGTAGTGTTAGTAATTTTTAGTATGCAATATGTATTATTTTTACGAATTAAATGACAAATGTCATCACTTACATCTCCCAAAGAAGCTGAACTTTTGATGAGTCGCTGAAATAGTAAAAGTATACAGAAGTATTTAATTGCAAAAAAAAACATGTAGTGCGCCCCCTGGTGTCTGTAGGTGAACACAACACCTGTTAGGAAGCCAACATGGACTGTGGCTCTGCCACTTTTCTCATTACTCAGCAAACTGGAAGTCTTGAAACTCTTCCTTCCCAGCTGCTGCAATAGTTTAAATAAGTTACTCAATTTGTACGAGGCAATGGCTCCATTCAGCCGGATGATGCGTGCGCCCCGATCTGATTGTTGTGACATTTTATGTGAATCATGGAATACCAGTAAAGGCAGGGTTGATCATCCTGTCAGGCATGAGTAGGACACACATTTGTCATTCCCTTAGCAGAAAGAGAGTGTTACAGGAAAGCAGCGTGAGGCTGCTGGAAAAAGGAACGAGCTTTGGTTGTTCAGGTTTTTTGTTGCTCAAAGGCCATCGATGGTGACCTCACATCCTCAACGTCTCCATCGCTGGGTCAAATGTGTTCTGAAAGTAAAGTTAGCTTCACACTCACCAACTTTTGTTACATTATTTAAAGGATGCACAACTGTTAGACGAAAGAAGACATGTTTAATGTGAAAATGTTGAGTGCTGAATGGCTGCTGAAATTAGCTGAAACTGAGCCAAAAGAAGCTAAATACTAGCTAAATGTAGAATGACTAGCAAAAATGCATACATGGAACAAAAGGCGTTGAGAAACCAAAAGTAACAAAAGGCATGTTTAAAATAGCAAAACAGCAAAAAGGATAACTAGTAAAAGCTAAAAGTAATTTAGCTTAAGGGAATAAATGGAAAAATACAAGTAGCAAAAGGCTTGCTAAAAAACTAGCAAAAGGGTATCAAAAGGCTTGATGAAAGTAAAAATTTGCTAAATGCTCATTAGAAGCTAAGTAGCAAAAATCTAAAAGCAGACAAAGTCAAAAGGCTAGGTGAAAGCTAAAAATAGCCAAACAGTAGCCAAAAGCTACAAGACTAGAAGCAAAAGAAACAGAACAGTAAATGCTAGGTCAATGAATCAAAAGGTTGGCTAAAAGCTACTTTGGCCAAAGGCTAGCAAGAAGATAAGTAGCTAAGAAAAAAGTAGGAATTCTAGAATAACAAAACGATAGCCAAAAGCTAAAAGAATGAAAATGCTAGCTAAAAATCTAAAGTAGCAGAAGGGTATATAGCTAAAAGAAGCAAAAGAGCTAAAAATAAATTGGCAGATAAAATTTTTATGTAGCATAAAAGACAAAAACCAGAGTAGGAACACTGAAGCAGATTGTTTTTGTTTAAATGAACATTTGAGGGAAATCTGTGTTTCTACATAAAACAATTTGTAAAATAATAAATCTTTAATTTACAAAAACAAAGTCATCACGACCAACTCCTAAAAACTGCACAAAGAATAAAGTTAAATTAAAATCAGGACTCATTCGCTGTGAGGACAGGTTTGTTTTTAAAGCCAACATCAAACAGCAGATTTTCAGAAAACAGAGCATAATACGAACATAAATCACAAGTTTAAAAAAAGGCAAACAAAACTCTAGAGGAAGATAACTTTAATCAAGATTAAATATATGCCCAAAAAGATTTTGTAACTTAGAAGAGTCCTGAAAGAGTCAAACAATAAGAAAACGATGAGTTTCTCCATCATACCAATAGTTACAGCTTCACACTTGTTCTAACAAGATATGGGTAAAACAGAAATCTGTCACCTTAACATACAGTGCAAATTCATTTGCAAAACCAGACAGAGCCTTCTTCCACATCTGAAACCCACATAAACTCATTTATAGAATATTTACAGGCGGGGCTTGAACAACTCAAACTGATTCATAACCAACAGGAGAATGGCCTCGAACTTTAGGCTGAGCCAAAGTGAAAAACTCATGAAATTAAATTAAAAATAATCACCATCTGGATTAGAAACAGGCTGAAATGATCAAACTGTTCGCCTGTTTGCACACAAAGGATGCAGCGTGATAAAGTGAGGGAAACAATCTTCCAACACAATCCTCCATCTTGTAGTAAACACTTCATACAGAATGACCCAAATAAAAAGAACGGGTTAGAACTGAGGTGATGAGAGTTCAACACCTCACATTAGAGTTAGCAGGATAAACTGTTTTTTACAATTCTTGAGATGACGACTGACGAGAGCATGAAATGAAAAACGGAGCGCAGCGTTTTTATCTGAGCGCAGCAGACGTAACAGTGTCATGACCTGCGAAACGTGGATTATTAGTTGTTAAATGTCACTTCTAACATGCCAGGACTCTAACACTTATATTCTGAAACACGCTATGAACAGAATCCTCTTGATAATCAACATTACCAGCTCAGTTTTGGTTTAAATAGGCTCGTGTTCGTCAAAACCACAAAAGCTCAAGGTTTTTTACATTTACACTTCCGCCTACAAGGCATACTGTATTTGATCATATTTCATGACCTGCATGCTAGTTTACGCTCCCTCCCTCGACACTCATCTGAATGACCTTGCCCGTCCTTCATTACTTTTGGCAGTAGTCTGAGCCGTTTTAAAAAATAAAAATAAACACTGGTGCTGCATTGTAAGAAAGCCGAGAAGGGAATATGTGCAGAAAACCCCCAAAATCACCGCTTCTGCTCAACATTCCTCCACTAACTTCATGTCAGCACCAGAAACAGACACGCTGAGGCTTCACAACAAAAACAAGAGTTGCGTTTGTGGATTTTGGTGATTTTTTTTAAAGTGGAATGAAGCAAAGCCCAGTCGACCTCTGTGCAGAAGGCATAGTGTTACGAAGCACGTTTGCAAATCGCTCGATTTCCCCCCCCCACATTGTCTGTTCTCGCAGGATAAACAATCAGTAACTCCACCAAACAGGAAGCGTTGGCTCACAGTGTTGGACGTACCAAGATTCCGGTTTATGGTTGTGGGACTCTTCTGGGTCGGCGTGGTCAGAAGGAGGAGGAGGAGGAGGAAGAGGAGCCCCGGTGGAAACAAAAAGTGGTCAAAGACAAGGACTGTCCTACAGCTTGGTGTATGAGTGCAGCAAGGACAGGTAGTAGATTCACAATAGAAACGCACACTCTTCTCCCAAACGGCTTCAAGACTAAGTAGGATGGATGGAACTTGGGTCACGCATGCGCGCGCACGCGCACACGCACACACACACACACACACACACACACACACCAATCCAATATCACAATAAGGGCTCCGGATGTGTCTTTGTCTCCCTCTGGTGGTTGTTGTCCATATCAGATCAACTCTCCCTTCAGATACAGGTTGCCTTCACGCACAAACATGAACAAACGCCCTCCTCGGCTCGCCCCGTATCTTTATTCAGGCTTATCTGGTGTAGTAGACTCTGTAGTAAACACTCTTGGAGCGCCAGAGTGAATACGAGTTGTCAAACTTGAGCAGGTAGACTCCGCGGCCGGGGTACTGGTGGCTGCCGGCGTACACCTCCTCGTGACAGTCCCGCCGGTAAACCGGCACAATCTCATCCACGTGGGGCTTCCCCGTCTCCTTTTTCACCTTCTCCTCTTCTGTGGAAGGGTCACCTGAAGACAGAACAAAAACAGATGTCAGGTCTCATCTCATTTTACAGCACAGCTGATCTCTTCTCCCGCCCCCCCCCCCCCCCAAAAAAAAATCTCTTACCCTCTTCATCCTCGTCTTCATCACTGGACTCCGACACGTGCACACTGACCGAGGCGGAGGCAGCATCCGTCCACTCGAAGAACACCCCAAAGCCGATGTCGTAATAGTCCGTGGCGAACTCCCAGAACAGGTACGATCCTTCCTCGTGGGTGGGAACGCGCACCGTGACCACCTCGCCGCGCCCCACTGTGATCACGCTGTCTGGATCCTGGCGGATCTTCTCCTTGAAGTCCTTGATCTGCGGCCGTGTCCACATCGAAGGGGCAGCTATGACTGGTGGGGAGTCTGCGATGATTACAAAAAAAGAGGAGGCATTTTGTTGAAGCAATCTGTTAAAAGAGTTCAATTATCTTTTTTTTATTTATTTTTTTTATGTGATTTTCCTCCAGTATTGGACAGACAGTCAAATTACCTGAACTAATAGAGCATTAGCATCTGACTGATTTTCTTAAATTATTCTGTAGAAAACAAATCAATCATCCACTAAGACTTCATTTTGCCCAGGACATGTTTCAAAACTAAATAAAAACGTCCTTTTTTTAATCATTACTAATATCCTTTACACATTATCCTACAGATTACGCTAATGATCAGAGTGATGGCCACTCCAAAAGGAAATATGGAGCTTTAGGCAGAAGATTGCCTCCAGAAATTATTCTCCCCCACCGCTCGATTAAGAGACAAAGCTACAGCCCACCTACCTAATAAAGGCCCGTTTTCAGAGATCTCCTCTGCGGGCTCAGGTTCTGGCTCCCGGTCCATGCTCTCTGAGTACGAGTCAGACTGGCCTCCGTTGACGGTGGGAAGTTCGTCGCTAGCGAACGGCGATGCGGCGCTCAGCGGACCGGCTGTCGAGGTGGAGATGTGTTCCCCGTTGTTAAAGCTGCTGGAGTCCAAGGCGCCCTGCACCGCTGCATCAGCCTGCTGTTGCTGCTTCTGTAGGGCCGCCTAGGACAAGAGGATGGTACGAGACAAACGTGATCAGAAACAAGCAAACAGCAGGTTCTCTGAAGAGCAGCGAGAGACTAAAACTTGTTGCATGATCTACTGTTGGAACAACTGAAGGTGCCAAAAACCAAACAGCACTTCTCATGTTGCTACAAGAAGATTAAAAGTTCAGATTTGTGTATTTTACTACATCCTGAATATTCTGTTTACATGTTTTTGGCACAAGCCTTGCCCTGCACATTGATTTCTACTCAAACACGATTTGTGTGAGTAATTTGAAGAATTTTTTTAAATTATGGAATGGGCATTTTTGTAATATTTTTCACAAGTTTGTTGTTTCGGTGTCAAAGCTCTAGAGCCATCAGAGCACATAGAAGTTTCCGAATGCGCAATACCGACTCGTCTTTATTATTTTTTCCCCACATTAACAGAATTGTTAGAATAAAATCGGTAGGATCTCTCAAGGTTGCAACTGTTAAGGACTGGTTAGCAACTCAAAATAGAAAAACTTTCAGTGAATCTAGTTGCAGTTTTACTGAATTTTGCCATTATGTGGCCACGTTGTGCACAGCCACTTAAATGGTAAATGGACTGTACTTGTATAGCACCTTTCCTTCTTATCAAGACAAAGTGCTTTACAACACAATCTGTGCCTCATTTACCCATTCATACAGCGCTCTACTAGATCTATACAAAGAATAATCAGAGCTTTATCACATTCATGCACTGATGGGACACACATCAGAGGCAATGAGGGGTTCAGTGTGTTGCCCAAGGACACTTCAGCATGTGACTGCTCGTGGAATCGAATCCCCAACTCTTGCAATGGAGGACGACTGCTCTAACCACTCAGCCACAGCTGCTCAAAATAAATAAATAAATCACAGCTTTGTGTGCATGGCTTGTAAAACACGTATTTTAGTGTTGCACGCTATTTCTGCCAACATTCCTACTTGTGTTGTGTCCAACATGGCAGCCAGCTTCATATGTATAGTTTAAATACACTTTTGAAATGAACATATGCAGAGTTGGACCAGGTTTTTTTAAAATTGGTTTGGTTCCAAGATCTGGGGCCTCATGTACAAAGACTTGCATGAATGTTCAACTGAAACATGGCGTACAGTTAAATAAAAAAAAAGCGTACTAAAATGTTCTAGACAATGTAGAGGCGTGTAAAGCATTGTGTTTAGCACATTGACCTCTAGCATTAGCGCCAAGAGCAAGAGGAGTGAGTGGGACAAAGTGTGTAAATGCTGTGGGGTCAGAGCACTGACTGCACACCCGCAGAAAATAAGAAAAAATGGTCGGATATTTTAGGACGATTAAATGAATTTAGAAGCCACCCATCCTGCAACGTGCCAGCTTGTGGGCCGTTCCCAACCATTCGTTAGTATGAATGAATCGTGCACTGAACATCGCCACAACGTGGTGCATCACACATAATTTGAACATTCATCCAATGAAAATGTTTCCTGTTAACATAAACACATTCATCCTGTGATGGTGCTATGATAGCAATGTGTGAGCAGTCGATAGCTCAGATTAGATTAAGAAAACCGGCGGTCGCTGCAAATTGCACTTTCATATTCTGTTCAATTGCGTTGTAGGGAACTAATATACCTGGTTGACATACGGATAATTCAGGGATTAAAGCAGATTTGGAAAATTTCAGATTTTTTTTTTTCTACACCAAGAGGTTATCCAAGCATCTCTCCACACTAGTAAAAGTGCACAGTATACAGTGTACATGACGTTAGTAAAAGTACACAGTATAGTGTTGTCTAATGATGCGTTGAAGACTTTCACCTGCACCATCAAGACCAACGGCATACTGAAGGAAGAAACGGGTTTAACAACGTTTCTGTAGTGTGCTTTTATGTCATTTCAGTGTTCTCAGTTGAGGAGTTGTCAGAAATATACATTTTTTAAATTATATCACAGAAAGTCCTTGGCAGAGTTTAGATTAACTTTTTTGTCAGAATGTGAAATTATTTCTTTCAATAGGATTATATTTACAGGATTTCATGTCATGTAGGCAGATTAGACATGTCTGTACGATCATGACGCTCCCAACACATTAACATTTAATTGTTAGATTTTAGATTTTAAAAAGTCTTGGGGGGGTCGGGGCGTGGTGTGGGAGGAGCGAGTGATGGTGTATCACTACAGGTATCTCCCCCGGCTGCAGAGGGTTGGTCACGTGTGAACACGTACGTTTAATACGCAGACGTTTAATAATTTAATACATGTTATCACCTTCATGAAGGGGCAGGCGGTTCTGTTAGGGTAGCAGGGCGTCCTTGGCTTGCTGCAGGTGAGCGTCCACCTGCAGTCACTGCTGCTGCTCACAACCCGGCTCACCATGAATCAGACAGCAGGACCCATCCTGCTCTGATTGGGTCAAACTGTGACTCTGGTTCTCTTTATTGGTTGAAAGCAGCATCAGTTTAATTCCTGTCTCGTCATTAAATTGGATGGTTTTAACAAGACCACAAAAGAACACACGTTTTTTTTTTCCCCCCTCCTCGTTCAAAATGACAGAAATCCGTTGCGGCAACTGAGAACTTTAATCCATGATAATTCCATCCCACACAGCTGGCACAGTGTCCATCAGTCTGCCAGCTCCATATGGAATGCCCCAGTTGCCAGGAACCCCAGTGTGGTCAGCAGCTGCATGTGCACGGGCAGCGCACGGCTCCTCGCTGTGTTGCACTCCAAGACCGCACAGCTCCATACAGAGTTCCAAAAGGATTGACCATGGAAGTCTAAAACGGCTGGAGCCCGTCGTCATTATGGGTCAGGAAATCCTCTCTGTCTCTAAATACACGCTCTCTGTGTATTGTGCCATTTGCTATATCCTCTAATAAGGCTAAAGCCACTTGGTAAAGAAACTTTCTGCAACGCTTTGCTCATGCTTTTATATCCACTCATCTAATTTCATACATGTGGATGCATTAATTGTACACCTTGTGTGTCTGTGTGTCACTGTCCATGGTGTATAATATAGTGTCCACATCATTAACAGTTTCCCAGTATCACCTTTAAGTGTCGCCAATGGGCCAATAACCATAGAAACACCAGCCATGAAGTTGGCATTGGCCTGCGCACATTTCCACAGTCATTTCATTTTTGATACATCTGAAGTTTTGCGTGAAAAATGGTGTATGCACCTGGGCCTGTCGCATTAAATCAATTAATCGCATGATGAAAGAAAATTATTTTCATTTATCGGCTTTATCGTTTCTTGGTGTCTCTCTCTTTCTACTGGACACTGGATGAGGAAAGGCTGAACTCCGGTGCTATTCACCGACCCCTCCCTTTCTCTTTAAAATCCGTTTTAAATGTCCAAAATCACATTTTTGGATCGTTAAAAGCAGCTAAGCCATGAGCTAAGCTAACTGATCAACCTAGGGGAAAAAAAACTCTGTCTTGTCGAAGCTCCAAAATTCACAATTGAAACCCGTGCCTTCGAGTAAAAAGTTGTTTTTCGCTGCAAAAAGAAGCTGAGAACTTATTTATTGATTTTTTTATTAAAAGCTTTGTGTAAAAAATGCTATGCTAAAGAGCTCAAACCACACAGAGCGTCTGCCATTTTGAGAACCGAAAAACAGAAATGAGACAGCCCATGTCACGTCAAGGGGCCTCTCTCCCATTTTTCTTAAAAGTCGCTGCTCGCTCCCTCACTATCCATCCTTCGGTTCAGTCTTATACTGCGATCCAGTGGTCAAAAAAAGATATTGCACACAAAAATTAACCAACATTTCTTCTTAAATTTGACAATAATTACTAATTAATGTCAAATTTCAAACAATATTATCGTTTATTGCAATAATTTCCAAGACAATTAATCGCCCGGCAAAATTTGTTTTTGTGACGGGCCTATACGCAGCCTGTGTACGAGGCCTCTTGACATTTCTTCTGTCAGAGGAGAGCTCTCATACAGGTGTCAAAATGACAACTCTGACTACTTAAATGAAATTTTATCGTTCAAACTTTTTGACGACGCTCTAATAATATTGAAAGATTTCTCATTGCGACTCATTTTCCATATATGTGCAATCTAAACTGGTGTAACACTACAAACATCCTACCTGCTGCTGGGCCAGCTGGACCTGGTAGAGCTGCTGCATGTACTGCTGGTAGTGCTGCTCCTGAAGCTGGCGGATGAGGCTCAGCTGTTGCTCTGGGCTGCTGGGGTACTGCTGCGCGGCGTACTGTTGGAACTGCACCGCTGTCTGAGCGTTTAAAGCGGCCATTATCTGCTGCCTGGTTCAAGCAACCAAATAAATAAACACGGTGAGTGCGGACATGAAAGGACTGAGAAGTTCTGGATGTCTAGATCTGATTTTGTACAAATACTTTCTAAGGATAAACTTACTTCTGCTGCTCGATCCGTAGCCTCTCCTCCTCGGCCTGTCTCCGCTCCTCTGCCTCTCTTCTCAGCCTCTCTTCCTCCTCAAGCCTTCGCCTCTCCTCCTCCTGTCTTTGTCGCTCCCTCTCCTCCTCCTCTCGCCTCAGCTGCTCCTCCTCCTCTTTCCTGAGGACAAAAAGTAAAGTCGCACACAAACACGTTAGTTACAGCAAAGTATTTACAAATATTCAGCAAAAAGTACAGGTTCTAGGATGGTTATTATATTAACACAAACCAAATATTCCTTCATGACATCAGATTAGATTTGGAGGAGACTTGGGCCGAGTGAGCATTTAGACATTTTAGGCAAAGAGGAAACAGAAGCAGAACACTTTACCTTTTCCTCTCCTGCTCCTCCTTTTCAATCTTGTGTGATATGACATAAGGAGCAAAGAGGTTACAGCACTTGTTCAGCAGCTTGACAAACTCCAACATGGCCTCCTCCTTCTCCATATTACCGAGGGAGGCCCACTCTTTCCTGCAGCCAGAAGAACACAGAGAGGAACGTGATCAATAAATATATTATAAATTAAACCCCACCCCCCAAAATTTTTTTTTTTAATATTATAGTGTAGTAAAATGAGCCTTGTGTCAAATATTTTTAAGTTTTTTACTCAAAGAAACCATTAAGTGTTACATGGCTTATATGAAACAAAGGCACAATATCAATGAACAGGTCTGTTTTCATACATAAGGCGCATTAAGCAAAAGAAAACAGTCGGATAAGTCAAACTTTATTCAACTCATTCACAATAACCACATAAAATTGGTTCGAGGTCAGTAAGCACGACCAGAATTAATACATAAGGCATACCGTATTATGAAGCTCATGTTGATTTTTGAGAAAATTAAAGGATTTTAAGTGAGCCTTATAGTCCAAAAAAATACAGTAAGACTGACTGGACGTTACAACTGAAATTTCTTAAAAAAAATAAAAACAACATCACAGAATTTATTAAAATGTAAATGCTTTTTAAAAAAAGTATTTTTCCCATTTGAGATTCATAAAGAGACTATCAACAATTTACATCGGGATCAATAAAGTTCTATCTCGTCTTTATCTTATTTCAGTAGCCTCTTATCTGAGATGAGCGGAGGAGTCCGGTTACAAAGAAAATCTGCTGCTGGTATCCAGGAAAAAGGACATTTAACACAAAGTTTACAGCAAAACAATACCCAAATGTTCACAAACGCCGTTGTGAGTTTTGTCAGCGAAAATGTGGATTGACCGAACAGTCAGTCATTTTAACATGAAAGTTATGGTTAACTTATCACTTCAGATAACATGAAGACATCAGCAGAACAAGATGTGAGTTCATTGAAGACTTTGTAACTGTATGCATGTGTGAAATGAGACATCATACTAAAAAATAATTAAATGAACAGAAAATTATATCTAGTTTGGGCAAAGCTTATTCTCGGTCAAACTGAAAACAGTCCAACAAAAACGTCAGGTGAACATGAAACGTAACGTCAACAAAACAGCACAGCTTCCCTTTATCATCATCTCATTAGCCCAAAGAAAAGGCCATAATATAAACGTTTCATAGTACATTTTATGTACTAACGGTAAAATACAGTGTGATTTTTAAGTTTACATGCCAAGTACCTATTTTACAAAAAGAACTGGTTCTTTGCGCTCACGTGAAGCACACATGAACAACTTTTTTTTTTTTTTTAAAACAACTGTATATATTTTATGTTACTTACAGGCAATATTTACGCACCTGAACTAGCACTGAATGTTCAGTTGAACTGAAAGTTTTAGCTGTATAATAGTTAATGTGTTCATATTTAGATTAGTGTGGCTATTTTACAGTTTAATTACTGAAATTTAATGAGTCCACTTTATTAGAAAGATGCTCTTTAGGTGGAAAAAAAATATGATTATAAAACATGAATTTAAAAAAAGAGAGATGGAATTCGGGTTACCTGCGGTCGTTGCCCAAGACGTCAAAGAAACCGACCTCTGGCGAAGCGTCAGGATTATAAGGGCCCAGTAACACCTGTTTGTGAAGGGCCACCAGCCGGAGCTTCTCCTCGTATGTCGGGTGGAAGGCTTTGCCATCTTTATCTGAGAGCGTGGAGCAGCAAAGTGTGAGAAATTAGTTCACTTTCTTTTTTCTTCGTTCTTTTATTAGGCCCACCCATACTCCAACAATAACTCAAAAATCCCTCCCCACAATAACAATGTTTAACTAACAAGCAGAAAAAAACTGAGAAACTTCTGTTTTTAATCCTATTTAAGGACAGCATCTATACCTAAAAATGAGTTTGCACTCAGATCAGAACGTGACACCAAGAATTCAGATAAGCGCAGGAGAAGGAGGAAGTAAATTTCTGTGTGGGATAGTTGGTAAATAATTACACCTAACCCTCATTGACACACTGACTGAAAACACAATGCAGAGATTTCTATTGCACAGTGGCAGATCGTCCCAAACCTGTTTGTACAGTCACCAAAAATGTTCTGCAATAGTTTAAATAATCACTCTTATAGCAGGAAAATTGCCCCATTTTAAAAAAAAAACAATGCAGTGTTCCATAGTACATAAAATGGATGAAGCAAATGGAAGTGGCGTTAATATTTATCTAGGCTAAAAATCAAACTCATGGTAAAATTCACTGACTGCAATTTTTTGTGTTTTCAAGTACTTTGAAACCATAACAGACCATTTTATTCTCTCAAAATACATTTGTTTCATGAAAGCAGGAGCTTATCGTTTCCCCACATTTATGTTACAGCTCCTTAAACACAGCAATGACTGGCAGGTCGTGTTAAAATAAAGCTCCCAAACAAATCACGTTACAATCCAGCTGCTGTAATGGAGCAGGCTATCCTGTGACGACCCGTTTTTAAAATCCACCGAAGCGAAGCAGTGCCAGCTAATACAACGGGAAGCAATGTGTTTTGCATAGAAATACAAAAAGGGGCTACTTGAAAGTTTCGAGTGTTTTACTTTTTATCGCTCAGCTAGCATGTTTGAAAGCTAATGCTGCGGCTGACAGTTAGCGGCTAATGTTAGCATTGTGCTAACCTCATTCACTGCGTGACTGGACTCACGACATTTCAACCGTTCCCAAAAGAACTAGCGATTTATCTGCGTCAAAACCGGTAAGGTTTTGGAAAACGTAATAATATATATACCTTTGAAAAATTTCAGGGCCATCCCGTACAGCTCCTGCAGAGGAAAGCCCCATTTCCCTTCCATGGCTGATTTTTCTCCGTCTTCTTCTCCTCCAGCTTCACCCGGCGTCTCGGTCCCCTGTTCGGACGGGACGAGGTTCGGATCCTCACCCTCCGGGTCTGGACTAAGGGTGAGGCCATCGATGGAAACTTCGAGCCGGCTGGACGTGGCGCTGTTGAGGTCGCCGCTCTGAACCTCTGTCGCCATCATTGTAGACTGTCAGCTGAAGAGGCCACGTACCTACTTCCTGTTAAATCTGACGGAAGTTCCGTTTGTTTTTCCACTCACGGGTACAAACGCGCATGCTAAAAATCAGTATTTTACGATGCAGTGTGGTCTATTTATGTGTACTTCTAGTTGTTTGATGTCTAATCAACTTTTTTTTTCGTTTGTATATGACTACGGTCTCCATATCCGACGAAAAACTATTCTTAGGTTGGATGCTTCATCTTTGCGATCACTTTTATCAACGGAAGGTAGCTACCGGAAGTAGCATTGAATATATTTTGGTTGCACCTGACTTGACGCATGCGCATTGGTATAGTGACGAAGCCCTAATCTGGACGATACACTCCGTTTAAAATGATTAGCAAATGAGCATTTAGATGATTATAAATAGTCAGTCAGAGAGGTTTTATTGTCATTTCAGCTACGTACAAGTACATATTGAAATGAAACGGGCTTCTCCAGGTACACAGAACATTATGTGACAACACACAGATGTACAATAAATACCAACAGACCTATAATAAATACAAAAAGACATCTAACCTAATCGAAACATTTCCGTCTAAACAAGTAATTAAGAGACATGACTAGATTGATTAGTACATATGTTGTACATGAGATGTGAGCAGCACAAAGTTTTTCTATATCAGCAGAGATAAAAAACTAAGGTGCAAAAATGCAAAACATTCATATTGCATGATCAGGAGAAGTTGGCAAATTCATACAAATTATATTTTGCTGTTTACAGAATTTATCTACTAAAAGGGACCCCAAAGTCAATAATTCTATTTGATTAATGTGTCGTAGAAATTCAGTTGTGGTAAATTAATCATAAAGACAAACTAATCCAATGATCCAATTTAGTCAATGCACGTCAATAACACCTTAATATAATGATCTATTCCAATCCAGTTACAATTAATTTTAAAATATTTTAATACATTATAAAATGCCAATTTGGGCAAAGCTGTCTAAGAAAAATAAAGAGAATAGTAGTAGGTGAGAAAAGTATTTACTATTAAAAAAAAACCTGTTGGCTACAAATAAGGCCATTCATTCATCCATCCATTATCTTCCACGTGTTCTGAAGGTCATGGGTGCAGCAGCTTGAGCGGGGAGGCCCAGACATCTCTTTCCACAGACACCTCTTCCAGTTCTTCTGGTAGGACTCCAAGGTGTTCCCAGTGTGTCCATGGTCTTGCCTGGGGTCTTCTTCAGAGATTTGGCATTCACAAACAAGCCATATCAGTCGCAGAAACCCACTGCGAGACGTTCTTTTTTATTCTTCTTCCTCATGTTCCATGCAGATGCAGACATGCACACGCTCCTCGATGCTATTCCACTGATGTGAAGAAGAATGAGCAATGAGGAGGAGTGGAGTAGGTGTGATGGTAAACATGTGCTTAGAAAGAAGGGCGGTGGGTGAACTTGACAAGCATGTGCCTGTATGGTCACGTCACTACATGCATGTACAACTGCACTGACTGTGTGGCTAATCTTTCCAAAGACTGTCTCTTTTGAAGAACCCTTTGGAAAAAGAAAACGTCACTGAATTGCTTTTGCTGTGTCAATCAACAACTACAAGTTTGCTTCAGATTTGTTTAAGTTTAACAGTTAATAAAACTACTATATTTATAAAATGACTACTCTGTGATTCTGAGGCACGTCTCGTGAATTCTGCGCCTTTTTGTAGAAAACTGATGCAGCGGTGTTGCTTTATGTAATTATTTGCTATTTCTTGCAAGTCGTGCAGCAAAAGGATTTGTGGCTATTCTGTCAAACAACCTATTTTCATTTAAAAAATCAAGTCGTAGACTGACTGTGTTTTAGATTTTAGAAATTTATTTTAAACCAAAATGCTAACTGCAACTTGTTTTGCTGTGTGTAATTTTGCGACGTTAAAGTGTTCATACACTTTTTTTTTCTTCTCTCTTCTTCTTCTTTCGGCTGCTCCCTTCTTCAAGGGTCATCACAGCGAACTAAGTCGCACGAAGACTTGGCAATTATTTTTATGCTAGATGCCCTTTCTGACAATCACAGACCACCGAGCTACCACAGCCCTCTGTGTGGAGCAGAGAGCTGCCATCTAGGACGCCCGGAGGAGCAGATGGTGTGGGTTAAGGGCTTTGCTCAAGGGCATAGAGTGGGGCAAATGAGGGTGGAGGCAGGTGTGGGTGCTTCACTTATCCCACCCACATTTTTGATGTTGTTAATACCAGGAGTTGAACCGGCCGATCTTCCGATGACAGGCCCACTTTCTCTAACCTCTGCGCCACCACTCCCTAAAATGTTCATACTCCTTAAGTTTTCTATTTTATTGTCATAACACTTTAAAATTATTTGATCCATAAAATACTTTCAAGTATAAATAAAAGTGGCAGCAATGCCAAATTAAAGATGTACAAAAAAAATCTGTCATTTAATAGTTTTTCTGTGTTTTACATGTTATTGATTACATTAAAGCTAAGAGACATTAATGACATTAATGTGCACATATACCATATTTTCCGGCGTATAAGTCGCAGGTTTTTTTGCATAGATTTGCCAGTCCTGTGACTTATATACTTTTTTTTCCCCCCATATTCATAACGCAATTTTTGGCTGACACTTTAAATGTTCATTCATACTGACATGAACCAGAGTAAGCATTACCATTTGCAGCTGATAGAGGCACGAGGGGGCCCTCTAGGGTTTTCACAACTACCCGTAGGTGTATATGTTGTTCCTTTACTGCTAACTCCCCACAAAACAGTCACCATCAAAGTGCATTTATTAAGGAAAAGTTAAACTGACCCTTTTGCTATAATGTTGAGCAAACAAGTAATTGCTTTTAAGTGTTAATCTTGTTAATCCCCTCCCGTGTGCGCTCTAGTGGCCGCCAATCGACTTTTGGTACACCAGCCCACATTTCCCAGAGGTCGGCAGTGACGCATAATAAACGCGGCTTACAGGCCAAAGCGACTTTTATATGTTTTTTCCTCTTCATGATGCTTTTTTTGACTGATGCGACTTATACACTGTAGAAATTTATACGCCGGAAAATACGGTAGTCAGTTTAGTAATAAAATTATGTTGACAGGGCCCCAAATGTGGCTCCAGCCCTGGGGCCTGCCCTGAAAAAAGACAAGATGTACAACAAAAAGAAACAAATGAACATTGAGGGAAATTAAAATAATGAAATTAAGGTTTTACTAGATGATGATGACTGGGGGGGGGGTAAAAACTATTTAAATTTAAAATAAAAAATGCAGCTGTTTACAAACAACAATTTAAAGGGTGCAAAACAGCCAACAGACTAAAATAAACTATTAGATGCAAAACAACTCAAATTAGGCCCCTCAAAACACAAAAAGATTACATTTAAACCCATTTACGGTCATGTAAACCATCTAAAAACTACATAAAGACCTAAGGAAACAAAAAAAATTCTACATGCATACTTTTTAAAAAATTGTTTTGCAACTCTTTTGTCTAAACAGTCAAATAATGATCTCCTTTTGTCCTTTATTTAGATCTTTTCCTTGACCAGGATCGAAAACACACTAACGTCAAATGTCACGTAAACACACAAGAAAACACCCTGAGAAGACAGCTGACATTCTAACACATCTCTGTAAATCTTTGTCTGAAAGTGGAAAAAAAATGAATATTGATAAAGTTAAACGGTTGGCTGCTTGTTCTTCAAAGGTGTTAAAATGATTGTGTTTAGATTTAGAGGAAATTGTATAGTTTACAGTTTGAAAAGCAGTCCTCACAGGAGAAATTGTCTTTATTTTTCATTTCTGAACAAAAAATAACTAAAAAGCCTGCTATAAAACTGCTGGTTTTGTTTTTCTCTGCCCCTATAATCAGTATAAGGAGTGTTACGTTTATTTACCACAGCTATCAGAGGACTTCTGATTGACAGTCACACGGGAGCAGGAACTACAACACCTTGATTTTAACATAGCAATAAAGCCAATACCCATTTAGGGTTTTCAGACAGCAACATCCTAACCAACATGCTTATCCTACCTGCAAAGCTGCAAGTAGGTGTTGATGTGAAGTGACACGCAGGCTTCAAGGTGGGTTCAAAAACAAGCTCATTGTCACAGAAAGGTTTTTGTAACTGAATGTTCTTTACAACCGAGTGCTGCGCATGAGTCATAAACTGAATGATGCAGCGACTTAACCACGCAGCTGAACCTTATAGAAATCTCACCAACATAAAGCGTCTGGGAATTATTTAGAGCGGTGGTTCCACAGTAAGGGTCGGGACCCTCATGCCACAACTTAAACGTCCTTAAAAACTCTCAAATCAAGTTACATTTAAAAATGGTTGCTTTATATTTACACAATATTTGCTACAGGGAATAAAAGTGTGATTCATATGTGAATAAAAGCAGTAATATAGGTGAAAGACGGTTTGTTTTTGGTCATTATGCCCTGGATTATTTTATTTTATTTTTTAAATTAGCCTTTTTTTTTTTTTTTTACAAATTCAAGCCAACAATGGATCACAATCGTCACTATGAAATGTTTGGGAGGCACAAAGATAAAATCCACCTGGACAGAGAGAAGTTTTATATTGTCCATAAAACACTGTGGGTTCCAACTGTGTCAGAAAATGTAAACCTTTGAAACTGAACTCAAATGTTCTGCTGAAAAAACTAATTCTTGTCCAAATAAAAGGAAACTGCCTGCCTGACCTCTTGACCCCTCCATCTTAACCGAGGATGGCCTGCTCAGTGACGATATGTTTGAAATGATTAAATGATTATTGAGATTGTTGCCTCCTCTGTTTATTGTTTTTAGATTTTAATAATAATTTACCCCAAACTGAAGAGCAGCAGTAAAACACTTCTGATGAAAGGTTTTTTTTTTTTTAACTGAGTTTTTCATTTACTTTTAAGCAGAGAATACGTGAGCTTTTTTAAACATTTATGACAAAAAGTGGATATTTGGGTGGCACAGTGTGGTTATATACTGTACAGTAAATGATCATTTTATTTAATGATCTGAAGCATTAAATATGGGTAGGAATTAATAGGCATTTGCTTCCTATGCCTTTTTGTAACAAAATCCATAAATACTTGTGATGCATAAATGAAGAAAGAAAGAAATGACTTTTTTTTTATTATGCCACTTTGATTTAATTATTTTGTTTGAAATAAAAATCAGTTTTTCAAGTTAGCTAGAGATAGAAAGCTTTAGCCGACTAGCTGTTAAAATAGCTAGCTATCTTGTTTAACCTTTTTGTTTTTGATTAAAGCAGAAACAATTACCTCAAATCTCTTGTGCAAAAATGTTTTTTCCAAAATAAAAGAACTCAAAATAGGACTAAATTACAATTCTTAGAAAATTTTTAATTTTGAACTTAAAGATGCATACTGTACAACTTTATTTATAAATCTCTTTAAAAACAACACCGTTGGCCAAAGTGGAATACATTAACTATATACAAGCAAGTGCCTCTATTGAAAAGCTTAATTTATACAATAAAATAACTTCTAAGAACAAAATCTCTTATGCAGAAATTTAATTTGATCCTATAAGCAGATCCCTTTGTTGTTTATTGTTCCTTTTCTCTTTGTATTGTATTTCTTTGTTTATTGTTTCAGATCCTCTGCTATTTAAACTTGAAGTTATTTTTGTATATTTCTTGATATAGTTGCATTTATATTTAGTTAAGAACTGGGAGGTCTAGTTTGATAGGGTCTGTGATAGTTATGTATCTTTTTTTTATTGTGTCTTGATGCTTCTTTGGATCGGAAGATTTTTGTAATATTGTTTGTTTGAAATAAAGTTTATTCAAAAAGACATCTTAGATGCTGTTAAAAAATACAAGCAAGCATTTAAAAAAAAAAACTATAAAATTAACTGAAACCATAAAAGTTATGACAGTAGTAGTTGCATGTCTATATTTTTTTTTTGGGGGGGGGGTGTGGGTGTGGTGTTGTTTGTTTTTTGCCATTTTGATAATCAGTCTATATTCAGTTTAGATTTTCACACAAATTCCCTACTAATGTTATAATTGTCCCAGTTTTTGACGTGAACATGACCTTTGCTTGAGAAAAGTTGTCTTTATTTCTTTTTCGAAGAACATTGATCCATTATTGCTTCATCCGTCACTCAGCGGATGTTTTTATTTTCTCTTCCCTGCCGATGTGTATTGTACGGAGCCCCGGAGGGGACACGCGGGATTAGTTTGTAACTTCCATTAAGGCTTCTTTAAACAAACATGGGTCGCAGCACCGCTCCAGCTGTGGCGGGTCGCACCTCTGCGGGGCCTGGCGGCTGCCGGCCGACGGTGGAGCCATTCACACGTCGGGTCAGACTCACCTTTGATCACTGGGGGGGTTGTTTTAAAACCCGAATGATAATTTAAAGAAGTCTCGACCTCAGTTGGTCTCTGGAGTCCAGAGGTGGAGGCTCGTCATGTTTGCGGTTCAGGGGGATCCGGGTCCTTTCCAGGTGTACCAAGAAGGGTCGCCACAGATGAGCATCTTGGTGAATTCAGGTTCGTGGCGGAAAGTTGTGGCATTTATTTATTTATTTGTTTGTTTGTTTGCTGCGTGAATGTTTTTGAAGCGTTCACTATTGTGATGCATTTTTCTTCCGTGCGTTTTTCGGTGCGTTTCTCGTCCCGCAGTTTTCAAGCTACTTCAACAAATCATGAATCAAAACGTTCAGCTCTTTCAGGACAATCCTGCTGCCTGTTGGTGCAACTTTAGCTTTTTGAGATATTTAGCCTTTTCAGCCATTTTTTCCCTCATATAAAATGATTTGAGCTCATTTTCCATCCTTCAAATCTTTAGATGTGTTTACAACCTTTAACTGCTCCTTTCACATTTTGTTCTGCTTCAGCTTCTTTCAGCTTCTTTGTGCAAATGTCAATTTTTTTCAGCTAATTTGTGTTTATTTTAGATTCTTTTTGCAAACATTTTTGTGCTTCTAACTTCTTTCTGCTAATTTCAGCTCCTTAGTTTATTTCTGCAAATTTTAGCTTTTTACTATTTCAGCTGTTGTTATGCAAATTTAAGCTTTTTCAACTAACAGTAATTGCAGTTTTTTTCCCACTCATTTTAACTATTTTCAGCCTAATTCAGCAAAAATGTGTTCCCACTACTTCTTGTAATTTCAGCTTTGTTCTGCTTTTTTTGTTGTTATTTTTCAGCTGTTCTTTGCTAATTTAAGCTTTTTCCAGATAAGTTCTACTTTTTTGTGCTAATTTCTGCTTCTTTCGGGCTCATTGGGCAAACGTGTTTTTTCTATTTAAACTTGTTCTATCTTTTCAGCTTTTTTTAAAATTGGAAATTGTTTAGCCAATTTCAGTTTTCAAAACAATTCCAGTTTTTCGTGGTAATTTATGCTACTTTCAGCCTATTTGACTTGGTTCAACTAATTTCAGCTTGTTCCTTTCAGCTTTTCTGCTATTTCAGCTAATATTTAGCTGTTTTTATGCATTTTTTAAAAAGAATGTTCAGCTAATTCCACATCTTGTAGCTCATTTTAGCTCTTTTCACTTCCTTGGCGTAGGTTAAGCTTGTCTCTGCCTTTTCAACTTGGTTTTAAATGTTTTTCGGGGGGGTTTCTCCTATTTTTAGCTTCTTTCCTAATTGTTGTGCTCATTTGTGCTTATTTAAACCTAATTCAGCAAATATGTGTTCTTTCTGCTTTCTTCTGCTAATTTAGGCTTGTTCTTTCATTTCAGCTACATTTCAGGATGTTTAAAAAAATTTTTTTTTAGCCAGTTTCAGCAGTTTTTCAGCAAGTTCTTCAACAATAAGCAGTCACACTGCATTTTTGCAGGAAATGCAATTTCTCTAGTTTTTCTTGCTGTGCGTAATTGACACATCTCCAGTGTGTCCTTGTGCTTGCAGATTTCGGAGCCTCAGGTGTCCCAAACTACTTCAGTTCCGACCCGAAGCCGGACAACTGCACCGTGATCCTGACCCACCGGAGAAAACGGACGAACTTCACCCGGCAGCAAATCGAGCTGCTGGAGAACGTTTTCTCCGACACCAAATATCCGGACATCTACCTGCGGGAGAAGCTGGAGGCTCTGACTGGGCTGCCAGAGTCCAGAATTCAGGTAGGACTCTGACACTTTTCCATAAAAAGCATCCTTAAAGTACCGTAATTTCCAGATTATAAGCTGCTACTTTTTTCAAATGCTTTGAACCCAGCAGCAGCTTATAAAAATGCTGCGGCTAATTTATGGATTTTTTTTTGACGGGCTGATGAGCTTCATGCCGCCAAAACATTTAGCTTTGTCACACCTGGACGCTCGCATAGCTGCCCAATACATGTCTCTCTTGGGGGTAGGCCCTCGTGACTCAATGAGACTGCCAGTATAAATAAAGGTTAAAAACTGACCAATGAAATTACCAAACGGGTCACATTGGTCCACTGGGGAAAGGACGAAATGAAGTATTCCCCGTTCTCTCCTCCCCGCTGTCCCCGCAGGGAACCCTCCCAGGGGGCACAGGGAGCTGATGCCCCTTTTCCATTAGTGCCTTTAGTACCAGTACAGCACGGTTCGACTCGGCTCAGTACGATACATGTTGTGTTTCCATTAAACTTTCAGCACCGGTTCTAGTGGGCGGGGTTCCAATTGACGTCACGTGCCTCACCAGCTGGTGGTGGTAATGCTGGTGGTAAAACCCTGGAACAGGTTTCAGTACAGGGTGAGAATTTATGTTGAAGTTTCTGGTAAATTAAAAAGAATACAGATTATTAAAATTATCAAGTTAAACGATATATAAATCCTGCTAATGAACTTTTAATGAATTTTAGTTCATCATTAAATCTCTGAACCAGATTCTACAAAAACATTATTTAAAATTTTTATAGTTTTCTTCATTTGATGCATTTGCACTCATTGTGTCTACTTTTCTTGTTCAGTTTAGATGTGTAGTTTTGTTTCTTGTTCAGATTTTTTTTAGCTTTGATTTAAAGTTCTTGTTTTGTGATTTGTACATCTGTGGGTTGGCATAAAGTTGAATAAAAGGCTGTAGCTCTTCTTTAAACATGGCTGAGGGAAATATTCCTGAGAGATCCAATAATTTTGTGTCTAACAGGATTTCATGATAAAGCTGGCACTGTTTATTTTTTAAACTTCACTGATTACAAAAACTAAACTATATATACATACATAAAATGATTTAAAAAATCGTTTCCACCCTCCGTCCCAGACCCGTCCTGGTCCACCCGTCTGCCGGGGGTCAGGGACCTGGGCCCCAGCCTCGCATGTGTCTGCGAGCCAGCACAGCAGCTCGTATGATCCTCCGCGGTGACCAGTGGAGCTCGGAGCCCATGGAGCATGCGAGGCCGGGGACTGGAGCCCAAGCCCCGGGTCAGCAGCACGAAGGATCATCTGCAGTGACCGACGGAGCTCGGAGCCGGGGATACGACGCCCTGCACGGCCTGAGGGGGTTCCGAGGCTCCGGTGGAGAGGACCGGGGGAGTCGGGGACCGGCAGAGCTTCATCTAGCTTGCTCTGAATTTTGTCGTTGACCACCAAGCACAAAAAGCAGCTGCACTTCAGCATTAGACCATGGTGTTGTCATTATGGTCTTTAAAATAAGTCCAGTCGTCCCTCAAGTTCAAGTTATTGCAAATGGCAGATCTTGTTGTGAAGTTTCTCAAATCACGAGTGACTCCACCACCTGACCAGTCAGCGACCGACAAGTGTTCTGACGTCACGTTTTGGTGCCGTTCGACCCGCTTGGAACCCCAGAGAAAAGGGCACTGAAAAAAGGGACTGGTTCCACAAACCATTATTAGTGGAAAAGCCTTGGAACTGTGCCAAGTTGAGTCGTGCTTTTATTCAGAGGATTTAAGGTTCATTCGAGTCACATGTGGTACATGAAGTGGAACAAAATTGTGTACTCGAGGTCCCAGTTACACCCAAAAATAGCACAAATATAAACTATAAAAAAAGAAATGGTATACAAGGATCCAAGTTAAACGCTAAACAATACTATAAAGGTACATTAAACAGCAGCCTGAACATGAGTCTGTTGTGAGCATGAATACAGCAGCTTATGGATAATTAGCAGATAATTAGCTTCTAAATCAGGGCTGGTCAACAAAACTGCTCATGGGGCCACAGTTTCTGAAAAAACTGGGGTTGGACAGCCAGCAATTAAAATCATTATGTAAATAAACCAAAGTTTACAATGATCTGTTACCTTTTAAACATGTTTATTCTATTGGATTGAATCATAAATTTAATAAACAGAACCCCCAGAGCCAAAAATATACTTTTTTTTTTTTTTTTTAAACGAAGCGGGCCAAATTGAATGGCCCTGCCAGTTGAATAGTCCTGCTCTTAACAGAAAGTTTAACCAAATCAGTTTGTCATGGTTTTCTTGTTTTAGGTGTGGTTTCAGAACAGAAGGGCCAAGTATCGTCGCCAAATTGGCTCCTCAGTATCCACAAAGGTGTCCAACACACCAGCTGGAGATCCATTCACCCATCTTGAAGGTAGATGGACTCCAGAGAAAGGTAGTTTTTCTTGTATGCCTTTAAAACGAACACCTTTATTCCCTCAAGTTAAGCTAAAACTAAAAGAAACATTCATATTTTATTTAGTTTCCGACACGGCAGAGGTCCATTGGATAGGTGCTTTCAACGAAGACAGTTTGAGGTCTGCGATGCACCAAGCCACAGAGAGCGACACACCATGGACCGGGTTTCTCAACAAACCCAGCAGCTTTGACCGGTCACCACCTTCCTGCTTCTATGACAAAAAAAACCCCGAAGCGATGGCGGCAGTGAGGACACGAACGAACAAGGCTGGCCTGATGAGCACGAGCTGTGACTTCCACATTTGTTCTAACAAAAGCGAGCATCGTATCAAGATGGAAGCCGACATGTCCGGTGACCAGGCCCCGAATTTTCTGATGGGGTATGAGAATTTCCCACCGAATAAAACCATAGGTCCGGAGATGAAAGTTGTGATTCCACGCATTACAACCCAAAGTAACTTCAAAAATAAAGGGTACCAGATGCAGTATCCACAGCTGAGGGCCACAGATGGGTTTGGCCACTTTTCTCTGATCCAAACCACTGAAACCCACGATGTCACCGATTCTGACTCTGAGTGGGAAAACAAGGCTATAGCTGACTTTGGTGGCTTTATGTAAGATTTACAGAGTTAATGTGTGTCTGTTAGAAATAAAATTGTAAAATAGTTATTTGTGAATAAATCTGGACAAACGATAACAAGAGTTGCAATATTATGTTTAATAAAAGAAAACATTTATGTACACGTGCCTAGAGGCACTTTCATATACAACTTTACAAAACTGAAAAAAAAATGAGCTTCTCCAGAAAAGAGCAATTAACTTAAGATTTTTAGGGTCACATTAGTGATACCAGCTGTGTGTGTGTGTGTGTGTGGGGGGGGGGGGGGGGCAGCAGCAGCCATGCCTGAAGGTGGAAATGCTAAGATCTGATAGATCAAAAGGCATCAAAACCCGAGTGCAGACTGTGTAACGGTGATCCACAATGTCAACACAAGTCTTTAATAGTCTTGACAGTTCATGAAAGCACCGTTTTCAGAAACATGACTATGCCACACTGTGTGTAGTGGGGGAAGGGGGGTGGGGGGAGACGTCCTCACACTGTATTGGTGTTGTTGGCAGCAAACACGTGCAGATTGCCCAGCTGACTCAGGCCACTCTGGATGTGTGCCACATGGATCTCAACATTATTCTGAAAGCAACTGGAGACAAGAAAGAAATGAGCCGTGACAAATAAACATGTAAAAAAATATCACAAAAGTAAAAAAAGAGAAACTTTGAAGAGGCCTGACTTATGCTCATTTTGAAACAACATGACTCGGGACGTTTAGGGGATTGCTCTGACACCACCACACCAAATTCTAGCTCATTACATCTAAAAAATGACACAGTGGCTGTTGGCCATCTTTAATCAGAATGAGTCCAAAAGTTAATCGGCTGTAGACGTGCAGCTAATGACTGATTACTTCCTTTGAGTTTTATTAAAATACAAAGCGGTTCATGGGATATTTTGCCAACAGACATATTACTTATTAAAGAATATACAGTCTTTAAGGGTTCACCTTTGTAGAAGGTAATAAAGAAAAATGTCTGCTATTAAAAGCAATGCAAAGTGATGCACGAGGGGTAGAGCTGTCGTTTCTAACCCGGAGCCCGGCCCCGCCTGACCCAGATTCAGACTGGGCCGGGCCACAATAATGTGCGAGCCGGGTTGGTGTTGGGCTTTTTATTGCGTCAGCGGATGACGATCCAATTATATGGCAACATGGCTTGCCGTACAATCAGCAGCTGTGCGCTGACCGGCCTTGAAAGAGGTAAAAAGTTCAGTTAAGCTTCCCGAGTCCAACTCTTAACGAGGGGACATAAAACATTAAATGGACACATACAGGGACATGAAATGGATAAAGTGACCCTTAAGGGGACATGAAATCCCACCATCAGTATAGCTGGTGGTTCTTTGTTACGAACACACCAATCTGTTGCTCATGGTCATGAGAATGACTGAATTATTGCCATTTTTGTCTTCTCCAAGTCATCTCTGGTGGCCATTTTGAATCGAGCAGCCATAAAAATATTAATCAGCCCTGGAAGACTGCCCAACAATCATTTTGTGAAGGTTTGAAAAACCATAACTTTACAGTTTTAACAGGATTTGAAGCAATCCCAATTTGTTCACCAAAGGAAACAGCTTCCATGCTTCTCCATGCGTCGCTTCCTTTTTAAAATTTTTTATAGCAGGCCCCAGTATTGTTTTTCACAGATCAAGTTTGAAATTAAAGAAGTCGTGCTCGCTCGTCCGTTCGTTCGTTTACCTGAGGTTGGAGGGATCAATCGAAGCTTTGATGTCATTCAAGGAGTCTGTTAAAGATTTAAACTCAAATGAATTCAGATCACCTCCATCTGCCAGACACTGAAACAAAAATGAGACTAGATAAGCAAAAAAAATTATCACAAATGCACATAAAAGATGTTAACAAAACATGGTAGATGCTGATACTTACACTTTTGGTACACAAATGGTACTGATGAGAGTTTTACTGCAGTGTATATAGGTGCTGGTTATATTCATTTATTACACACAGACTGATATATTTCAAATGTTTATTTCTTTTAATGTTGATGATTATAACTGACAGCTAATGAAAACGAAAGTTACGTATGTAACTACGGTTCTATGAATCCCGGATGACCGCCAGAGGGCGGTGCTGAAAGCACTGAATGTTCCCTTCGCGCATGCGCTGATTCGAGTAATAATACCAACGGAGTCACAGGTGTGACACGGATGACCAATCAGAGGCTATATAGCCCGACGTCATCCGCTGCTCTGCTCCTACAGAATCTTCTCGCGAAACGCAAGGATTCTGAGTGACGGAGAAGCTCTGGCGGTCATCCGGGATTCATAGAACCGTAGTTACATACGTAACTTTCGTTCTATTTCATCCCTCCTGACCGCCAGAGGGCGGTGCTGAAAGCACTGAATGACTAATATCAACGATGTCACAAGGAATCCTAACACCTACCTCACTGAGGAGGCCCAGAGGACCCTTGTAGAAGAACCTGGCCCAGGGGATGAGGGGTGGCCACGTTAACTCTATAAAATCTGGTGAACGTGCTTGGGGAAGCCCATGATGCAGCAGCACATATTGCTTCCAGCGGAACCCCTCTCAGGGCAGCCCAGGAAGCGGAGACGCTCCTGGTAGAGTGAGCCTTCAAGCCGACCGGGAGGGAGCCAGGCCCTGCAGCATAGGCGTGGCAGATGACGTCCACAATCCAGTGGGAGAGGCGCTGTTTGGAAAGAGGACAGCCTAACCTAGGGCCTCCATAACACACAAACAGCTGGTCTGAATGTCTTATCACGGCAGTAGCTGCAACATATGCCTCCAGTGCCCTTACCGGGCACAATAATGCAGACCCCTCACCAGGCGCAGGCTGAAAACGTGCCAGCCTCAACGGTTGGTTAGAGTGAGAGTGAGATAACACCTTTGGTACGAATGCAATGTTTGGCCACAAGGTAACACACGAGCCCTCAGGGCCCCACCTGAGACATGAGGGGCTGATTGAGAGAGCATGTAGCTCGCTGACCCTCTTTGCTGAGGTAATAGCCAACAAAAAAGCCGTCTTACATGAAAGCCACTTGAGGTCCGCCTGCGACAGAGGCTCGAAAGGAGGACGGCACAGAGCTTCGAGAACCAAGGGAAGGTCCCAACCTGGTGCTCGTGGAGCTGTTGGCGGGTGTGACCTACGGGCACCACGCAGAAAAAGAGAGACTAGATTATGGCTCCCTACCGTACAGCCATCAATGCCAGTGTGATTAGATGATATTGCCGCTACATAAACTTTAAGCGTCGAAGGACAGCGACCCTTACCAAGTAGAGACTGGAGAAACTCCAGAATGGTGGGTATTGTACAGGAGACTGGATCCTTGTTGTGATCCGAACACCATTGGGAAAACAGGCGCCACCTGTTTTCGTACTGCTGACGAGTAGAGGGTGCCCTGGCGCCCAGGATGGTGCGTCTGACGGGGCTCGAAACTCCAGTCAGCTGCTGTCCTAGCCTTGCAGTGGCCACACCCACAGCCGAAGACGTTGAGGATTGGGGTGCCATATCAGTCCCCCCAACTGAGACAGCAAGTCCCTTCTGGTCGGAAGACACCATGGGACGCCCTGACATAGACTTCGTAGCAGTGGGAACCATGGTCGCGCTGGCCAATACGGAGCCACCAGCAGCATCCTGTGGCCCTCCTCGAGGACTCTCTGAAGGGTTGGCCAAATTAGAGAAAGGGGTGGAAAGGCATATAGAAGGACCCTTGGCCAAGGATGAGCCAATGCGTCCTGGCCTAGCGCACCCGACGCCCCCGTAAGAGAGTACCATAGGGGACACTGAGTCGACTCTTCCGTCGCAAACAGGTCTATCTCTGCCTGACCAAAACGGTCCCAGATCATCAGCACTATGTCTCTGTGGAGGGACCACTCTCCCGGAGGGGACTCTTGGCGGGAGAGAAAATCTGCGACCTGATTGTGTCGCCCTGGCAAGTACGCTGCCCGCAGGGTGGACAGGCGAGGAGAGGCCCATTCCAGGAGCTCTCTGGACACACTCAGAAGTTGTGCTGACCTGGTGCCCCCCTGATGGTTGATGTGGTAGACAACAGAGGTGTTGTCCGACCGAACAAGTACATGCCTCCCTTCCAGGTGAGGCAGGAAGTGCCTGAGTGCCAAGTGCACTGCACGCAGCTCCAGCACATTTATATGCTTGGAATGGTCTCTTTGACCCCAGCGGCCCTGAACCGCTCTGCGTTGCCATACAGCCCCCCATCCCATGGAGCTGGCATCCGTTGTGACCACTTCCCTGCGACACACTACCACTCCCATGGGGACACCCCTGGACAAATAATCTTCGTCCCTCCATGGAGTCAAGGCATGAAGACATGACCACGTCACTGCGAGCTTGCGATGCCTGTGCAGCCTGGCATCCAGGCGAAAGCTGTTGAGCCACCTCTGCAAGGGGCGAAGTGACAGCAGGCCTAAGGGCACCACCCGAGTGACTGATGTCAGCTTGCCGAGTAGTTGCAGGAAGGCAACATAGGGGAGCTGCTTGCCCAGCCTGAACCGATTGACCAGCTGGAGTATGCCGGCCACCCTTTGAGCGGATGGGCGAGCTCTCATTGAAGATGAATCCAGAACCACCCCAAGAAAGGTGGTCGTCTGGGAAGGGATCAGGCAGCTCTTCTCCAGGTTGACATTGAGGCCTAACTGGGACATATGAGCGAGCAGGCGGTTTGTGTCGTGAAAGGCACAGGCCTGAGACGGGGCGCAGAGAAGCCAATCGTCTAAGTACGGCAGAATCTTCACTCCGCAGGCCTGCAGAGGAGAGAGGGCTGCCTTCACGCACCGAGTGAACACCCTTGGGGAGAGAGAGAGCCCGAATGGAAGTACCCGGAACTGCCAGTGGTGACCCTGATAGGCAAACCTGAGAAAGCGGCGATGTTCTGCCGCAATAGGCACATGAAAATATGCATCCTTCAGGTCTACAGACGTGAACCATTCTTCCCTTGTGACAGCTTGAAGGACTTCTGCTGTTGTGAGCATGTGGAAGGGCAGCTCCTTTAGGTACTGGTTGAGTCC